TGACGTCAACAGAAATTTATCAATATATGCAAATTGAACATGCAAAACGTGATTAAGAGACTAGAAATAATAGTCTTACGCTTTATATTCTTTCATATTTTGTTTGTAATATGCAAATAAAGTTTATTACTTTAATAAGTTTTTACTATTAAGCTTCCAGCGTTATTAATTATTCTTTTTCATTTTTTACGATGCATTTAGCATATTTTAATACATTATTGTACGTGGTTTATTCTCTCGACTTATTCAACGCTACGTTTCTAGTATTTAATATCGCTTTCTGTTTTCGATTTATACACGTCACACGGGATTACGTACATATATGTAAATTGACGATTAAGTAATGACTGTCAAAGTTCCATTATTGTGCGAAGTTTACTCTCTCTCTCTCAGTTTATTCAACACTATGTCTCTGGCATTTCATATCGTTTTCTGTTTTCGGTTTACATAAATCGCGGGACGGTGTACGTATATCTGCGTAAATTGATGATAAGTAACGACTATCAAAGTTCCATTTGGGACTCATAAAATCGATAGTCCCTAAAGGCTAATCAACCCTTTAGTCGCACTATTCCGTAATGTAAAATACCCGCAGTTAGCGACCTAAATCCACATTTCCGTGGTCGCTACTCAACGTACATACGTAACTGTGTTACTATGACACACTATGCGCTGGCGTACGAACGATAAATGGACACGATGCACGCGCCATCCGATCTAATCGACCGGATGAAAGTAAGTCATCCGCCTCTACACCCCGCGCCACCAGCAAACTTTCGTAAGCACCATTAGCGATCGTTATTAATTTCCCTCCCCGAGAGCGAGACTATCTATGGCTAGCTCGCCTCTGCAATAGCGAAAAACGAACTTTGCAAACAACAACGGCAACGGATACGAAAAAGACATTGAGTGGTCTTGAAACCAGTGACCTGCCACCTTGACGCAAGTCGTAACAAGTATATTGGCCTTCTTGGCGTTTTCGATTAAAAGAATAAATGTATTGTACAGTTCGAGGACATTGTGCGATTGCACGGGAATTACGAAGTGAGCAACTCGTAACGAAAGAAGATTCAAATTAATAAACATTGAAAAACACTTGTCTTAGCTCTGCTTTTGAATTTGTCAACGTTAATACTGCATATGAATTATGTACCTAACGCAAACGATAGAGAGTCATAGCGACAATTATAAATAATCTGAAATAATAGTAGATACTTTGGGAATATAGTCACATGATTTTTTTTTTTATGTAAATGATCACTTAATGTGTTTTTACATTTACACCCCAATTAAAATCATCTATAGATTAACAATATATTATTGATTGTGTGTTTTACGATTTATTAATATTTGAGAACATTATGGATATGGATTTCATCACAATTTTCTGAAAAAAATAAGTAGTAGCCAGATAAATATTGAACAGAATAAACGGGTTAAGTAGTCTATTATAACAATATTTCTAAAAACAATGAAGATTTTAATTATATTAATTTAACATCGTTTTATTATGAATTTTCAATAAAATCGTATATTTAAATTCGTGAAGAATATTTAAAAAAGAAAAAAATATGTTAAATTCACAATATTTTGCAATAATTTACATATTTTTATCCCTGGGGTGTAAAAATATCTCACACTCTAAAAAATATCAATGTAAATTTAACATAAATGCGGTGTCTATATAATCTCACCGTTAATATTAATATTAATATCAATACAATAAGAATTATATAAACACCGCTATTTTTTAGAATGCGGATAACAATTTCCGGATTAATCACATAACGATTAATCACATAAGATGTGCAAAAATTTTGATGCTATCAATATTATGCCATATTTTAAGAAACATTTAAAGAATGTGGGAAATGCATATACGGAATAGATTGAATGATTTAACAAAGCTATAGCTTGCTGGTGCAAGTTTATAACTGAAAAGATTTGATAGTTTAACAAAGAAATTATATTTATAAGCAATTATCAGTATGTTAATTCAACTATTCTTTGATGAAAAATTAAAATTGCTTATGTAACCAAGTTTTCTTTATTACAGTAACAAAAGTATGCACTATTTTAGCTAGCATACTTTGTTAAAAATTTTGATGTATATATTAGATTGATTGTCGTAGAAACTTATCTTAGCTGTATTAATAAATTTGCTGTGCTCATAACGAATATGACTATAATCGTCAGTTTTATTCAATTGTTCAACTTTGCTATTTTATATAGAAAACTGATTGTCCGTATATTATAGTCGTAAATTTGTTGGTCAGTGAAGTTCTTAGTTGTTTTAATAAATCTTTTTTTACGTATATACAATTAAAACATACAATTAAAACATACAATGATGTAAGTTCCATGATACCTATATTATATGTTATCTTCTTTTATATATATATTATCGGAACTGGAAGCTTGTCACGTGACATAGACGTTGTCAAAAAGCTATATAGATATATCTCGGTAGAGATAAAATTTTTCGAGATACTGCAATTGTCACTAATTTATCTGCTTATACTGATAGTTACAAAAATGTCCATGTTTGAAAATTTTAAAAGCCACTGACTAATGAATAACGATTGACGTAAAAACATTCCCAACATATCTTGACTTTCAAGAAATCCTAGAAACGATCTAGCAAACGCATTCGTTTCGCCAGAATGGAAACTCATAAGACATACCGGAGTCGTGCAAGGTCGTGTATTGATACTTCCAAACCAGACCGAGTTGCAATTTAATTTTCCGAAATGCGCTTGCGCCTTGATAAAGATGGGCGGAAAGACAAGAAAAGCGTTACAATGAAAATTACTACGTAAGCGAACACAAGCAGCTCTGTATGGGCCATCTCGTGACGGTCATACACGCGAGTCCCACAATCGCTTAGCGCGATTTACGTTAACTGTTTCCCTCGATACTTGTGGATCTCTTAGTACGACTGCGTGCGGGGATAAACATGTGGCTGTCATATCAAACAATACATTTGTTTTAATACACTTTTGATATACAACCGCGCGATCGATCCGTTCGTGGCGTCGCATGCGCAACGAACGATCACATTCAACGTATGCCCGGTCCGATCGATGTGCCGACTGTTTTCCATGTTTTCGTACGAATCTCTCGCAACAACCGCGACTCTGGTTATTACCGGATTGTTACTGGAATGAGAGGATGAAAGAGAGCTCTGTAACGATATTCTGTGTTCTGTGTTAACACGTGTTGGGATGTTTGATTGATGTTCGACTGGAAAATATAGCATACGGTAATTGCCGTAATACTTTGTAATATAGTATTGTAATACATTGATAAAATATATAGATGAACTCCTTTTTTAACGAATAATTGAATGTATAAGATAACATTTATTTATATGAGCGCTAAGTATTTGGAAAATATTTTGGAAGTATTTCGAGAAAAATATGACTTTGAGGAGATTGGAAAGTTAAAATAAACTCAAGTATAAAGAAAGTTAAATATAAACCTTATCTTGGCTCGGGACTTCGCTTATTAACAAGATGTAAAATCTCTCTCTGAAGGTCAATTAAGATGATCTTAATAAAATTATGAAGAACTTTGCGCAAGTTACCTTACATTGGGATGTAACATTTCGCACGTAATTTATTTTATTTTATTTTTAAAGACATTCTGCTTTCTCAGGAATATACGTTGCTTCATAATCGTTACATTAGTGCATTAGATCACTGTTTTATTCATAAGGAATGCTATTATTAGTCGTGTATACATAATCGATTCATTGTGATATTATGTAGTTACTTATATTACATTTTATATTTACATCGTTATAGACATTTAGAATAGTCACGTAAATTTAGAATTAATTTACGATTCAGATGCTTTTTTCTAGAGTAGATATTTTCACTTTGATAATAAATTTAGTATTTATTTCAATACTTGTGATATTCGATTAAAAATTATAAAATTAGTATTTAGTACAAAAGATTTTTAAAGCATGAATTTATGTTCTCTGATATAGTGAAAATATTTTGAAATTAGAAGCTCTCTGTGGATAATCGACAAATGACTGTAAGTACTGAGGATTGTCTCACGAAAGTAGAAATTCCGCAGCATTGTCGTACGCTTGAAAAATCTTGAATTACGTATTTTTATAAATTTGTGTATATTGGAAACTCTGTCTGTACGTAGACTCTCAACGACTCTAGTCAAGATCACATTAGACAGTGAGATCTATAATTATCTCGTTGGCATTCTCGCCCACGCGAAGTAGTTTCTTCGTTCAGTTAATTATTAATTAAAAAGACTATTTTTAGGTCTTTTAAAGAGTCGTAACGATTCGATCCTGATTTAAACGTCTTTTACCTCGAGTTGTTGACAAAAAAGTCAACGTACTTCCTGTTTTATAAATTTGTTATTTTATACATATATTCGCAGAATTTATTCTCACTTTTCGGGCAGCATAAAAATTTTTACCCACAACGTATAAACAGACTAACATGTAAATAATTCTCGTAAATATATTGAATCGATTTTAACACAGTGAGTTAATGCGATAATTATAAGTAAACTGAAATGATATTAATCATAATAACATTAAATATAACATTAAATTCTCTCATATATCGGAGTCATATTATCCCGATAATTCAATTGTAATACTTTAGGGAGGAATATTAAAAAGTATGTGTAAGTTACATGTAACTTAACTTGTTACATGTAACTTTAGTTACATAAATATACAACGTATGTTATAATTTTCAAAATTCTAAAGGAAAGAACTTAACCGAAAATTCCACAAAATGTGACAGTTGTCAATTCGTTAATTTGCTTGCAAAATTTATAATATAAATATAAAAAAATGGAAAAATTAAAGAAAAGGAAACTTCGTACTTCACCCCGACAATAATTTGACATATATGTATTATACATATATATACTCGGTCCTACATTTGTCCTACTTGAATATCTCTAATAAAATTCGTTGTACTTAACGCCTAACAGAGGTTTTGTCTCTCGAACTACAGGCACGCAACAAACCAGCGGATGGCGTGGGTCATGTAAACCAAAAAGGTGCTTCCGGTCAGAAAGCGCCAACAGCTGGTCAGAAGGTTGCACCGGGTGCTAAGGTCGCAGCGAAACCGGCCCAGAAGCCGACAGCCCAGAAAGGTCAAGTGAAAGTAACACCCAAGGCGGCCTCCGTGAAGACCGGCAAAAACAAAAAGAAGGGACAACGTCAACAATATGATCTCATCGTTACTATTAATCTGGTAAGTGCGTAATATCACCAATATCACATCACATATTCAAGATCAAAATGTTTTACCCGGAATCGCTAGTCATTTATATGTAAATTTTTTTTTTAGCTTGGTCTTATTTCAAAGAAATTAGTAGGTTTATATACTTAATATGCCATAAACATTTTTATAAATTGTTCCTTTACTTCAAAAGTGACATAAGTTAAAAAATTAAGTTTTTTAGAAAAGAGAAAAACTATTTTTTAAATTGATAGAAAGTTGATTAATCAAATAATATTAGCAAAAAAATATTTTACAATTTTACTTTTAACAATTAAATGTTATTTTTGTTTCACAACTTTTTTGAATTGTGACATTTTTGACGATTATTTATAAAATTAAATTATTCTACTTTTGATTGAATAATAGGGTAATGTTTCTTAACGATTTTTTTTTAATTATCCTCTTTTTAATTGTGTAGATTTTTTATGAAGTTAAGCTAGTTCACATTTGATGATTGATAAGATAATGTTTACGTAACTCGATCATTCATATAACTCGAAAACATATTTTTTAATTCGTGTCACCTTCGAAGTGTAAGGAAGTGAAAATATAAGAGATTATTTCGCAAAATTCTGATCTCATTTTGATGACGAATTTAATTCTACCTTGAGTAAAATATTGATATTTTTTGTAGTTAGAGTAAAATGAAGTAGATTGACAGAAATTTTCAAATTGTATAAGATCGTCGTATATTTATTCAATTAAATATACAAAACATATACTGTTGATAATGTATGTTTTGATTGAATACACTATATTCAATCTTTTATACAATTAAAAAATTTCTATTAAATAATGATCTTTCTATTCTGTTCAAATTATCCCGTTTTATCCCACAATTTCATAAAATAGAAATAAAGAGTTTTTTTTCCCAAACTGAACTTAAATGATTAAAGGGATCCTAAAGTCGTCTATTTTATTGATTAAACGCAATAATTTTCGTAAAAAATTATTGCATATATTTTGTTTATAGGTTTGGAAATTCTTTTCCAGAATTAGCGTGGAATTTATATTCAGAAAAATTTTTGAAATTGATTTTTTTTATCACACTTCTTAGAATTAGATTTAGACATCTAATTTGATACAATAAATCTTTATGAAAATTTAGGCGTATATGTGCATGCAATATTGATGTATATAATAATACGATGTATATAATTATAGTGATGTGTCGATTGTCAATAACACGTAAATCATATGTGATAAATCTTATATCGGTAAAACAACAAACGATTCGAAATTCAAATCTCGTTTTTTTCTGAAATATACCTTTACAGAATTTTAGTTTAATTATTTATCAATATCACCTAAATTTGATTATTTCATATGTTTAACTCTTCTTAAAAATTGTCTTCAAAGAGATTGAGCTAAAATAGAGTTTAATATTGTATTTCTTGAATAGCTTGTAAAAATTAGTTGAAAAATATTATATACCGGAGTTAATTTCGACTAATTACTCAGTTCGACTAATTACTGCCTTAAAATCATTAGCAATATTCCCAAGTGATTTGCGTGAATACGGCACCTAATTATTTTGGTTCGTAGAAATAAGAGCGAAATTATCGGTGACAAATCGAATCGTATCATAAGTCGCCTTTGTTAACTTAGCGTGCACTTCGCGTAATGCGTGCACATTGGCAATAAATACGGTACGATCTGACCCAGTTGAATATGCGATGAGCGATCGATAAGTTGTTCATGTTCAGCTAATGTATAACACGTACGTGTTGTCGAGATATGCCGAAGGAAAATAATGTTGTTTTGTCATATTGGCATAATTAGCGACAGTTCATCGATCGCGTTATTCTATTTTAGGATTGCAGTTCCAGATTGAATGTTGACAATTTCAAATCTATCTGATATTCGATCTTCATGCAAATTGCATATGCATGTACGTAGTTCTAGCATGTTATTATTCTCTGCATTCATTATAAACTGTTATTATTACGACTATTTATGTTATATGCCCGTCTTTTTTATTTGTTTCGCATAATTTCTATGTCATACATAATCATATAGAGATATTCATTTATTGAGAATTTATTTTTTTTTATACTTTTTTATCACATATGATTTAATTATTATTTTAAATTACATTAAGTATAATTTTTTTTAAGATTCAATTTATACTCGAAAAATTGTTCCCGCTTCATTTTTTGATATATTCTTTCATAAAAAGATTTTAAGTGATGTCAAACGAAGAAATTTTTATCAAGCTAATCAAAATTTATAATATCTTCAAACAGAGTTGTATTATTAAGTATTTCTTCTTGTTAATATTGTATAAATATTATTTTTATTAATATTAATGCTAATATTATTAAAATGGATTTTCTACAATAAAAAAAGTCTATTACTTAAGCTTTAAGTCTTAAACCATAAGAAATCGACCAATCACAAGAAAATATGAGAAGAATAATTGACTATGATTGGTCAATTTCTTATGGCTTAAGACTTAAAGTTTAAATAATTAAATTATTATAGAAAGTCCATTATGCTAGATCTATTATGTTCGAATATTGAATACAGTCAAAAATAGAAATATACTATGAGACTTTCGAAAAACAAGAAGCGAAAAGTATGACATTTGAGATTATCGAAGGTGCTATGATTGAAGACAGTATGATATAAGTGATTACCGATAATTTATTCTCGTTAACGCGCAAAGTTTATGACAAGTAAAATATCTGTCCGTGCAACGTCAGAAGCGGGGAAGGGAATAGTCACCAAAGCGTCTAATCGTAGAGGGGACCTGGTAGTTAAAAACAGACTAAGGTTGCTAAAGTCCTAAACGCACTCTTTGTCATCGTACAGACACTGTGCTCAATCACACTCGACGGTCGACATCCGAGCGTTCGGAAGTCGCGCCGCGGCGCGTGTTCCTTCAAGGCGTACGCGAAATAACGTGCGTGTGCGACCGCGAAAGCCGAAGCCGTTGAAAAGCGAAGTGAACGGGGAGGAGAAACGAATCGCGGCACGTTCCTCGATTTCATCCGGTCGAATCCCTAGACGCGCGAAGTTCGTATTCCAAGCGCGCGTATTTCTCTATGCCACACGTGCGTTGCGTCGGCTATTTTTACTCATCCGCGAGCTATCATCTTCGAATAGTGTCGCCGAATGTGAATATCGTGCACACAGTTGTCCGATTCGATGTGATCGTCTCTTTCGACGTTTCGTTTTTTATTGAGAAAAACGACGAGGTAGCTTTAGAATCCGATCCAAACGCCGGTCTAAACTTCTCAATTTTACTCATCCGAATAAATGTAAGGTAATCGTGATCGATGGCAAAAAAAAAAAACGGCGGGAAGTCTGAGTGTCTTTCGGATTGCTTGCGTCTCTCTCTTTCTCGGTAATAGAAACGGCCTTGGGAAAGCTGATAGTTTAGTATTAGAGTTCGATTTCTATCTCTTTCTTTCTCTCTTCGAGTAAGTTCTTTCAACGAATATATGCGAATATATGCGTTGACTTCTGAAAGATTGCGATAAAAGTGCGGTTTACATTTCTTTTGTTCTTTCTTTTTGCGCATCGACGGTCGGACGTCGAACATGACGCGCTTGTAATGGAAGGGAAATGTCGATCTCGATGGCGACTCGACGTAATTGGGACGAGACACCAGACGTTAGACATACCCACGGAATCCGCAGTTAACGTATAATCTGGCATAATCTCATCATCGGTCACTTCCGACAAACATTCCCGGCACGACCGGCGTGACACTTGAACCATGGCGGAAACAGAAAAGAGATACACGCACGCATATGGACAGCTGCGTAGATTAACGAGCACGATAGACGGTCAAATTAGGCAGTTGAGCGTAAGTAAGAGTACAGATTTCTTTGAACCTGGGCGGAAACTTAAAAGTGTGCGTGAAGTGTTGAAATTAAGAAAGAAATCTTTGTCAAAAATCTCGTATAAATATCATTGAAATAAAACGTATTCGAACAGAGCCGTGAGACTCGCTGTCACGTTGCGACACGTTATTATTAATAATTCATTACACGACCTCCCTTCGCGCCAGAGTTTCTAGCGTTGGGCATCTCGCCAAACTTTCTTCAATATCTTCTCATACGAGTATCACACGAGAACAGATAGAAGAGTACTAGTTAAAACAAGATCATTCGCCTATAAGAGGCAATATCTTATAGATGCCATTTGGTGCTGTATGCATATGTAATAGAATTTTAATTCATAGATCAAACAAAATTGCATTATGCGTTATATGAAATGAAAGGTGTTTATCCTTTTCTTTGTTTCAGTCCGAATATGGACTCACAGAAGATCAGGTAGCAGGTGAGTTAACGATTGTAAATAATTCAATAATTATAAAATAAGTCATAAAATAATTAAAATATCAGTAATAATCAATGTTTATGATAGAATTAAAAATTTATAATATTTTTTAAATTCGTGACATTTGTGACTTTTAATATTTTGTATTATAAAATATATAATCTGTAAAATATTTTGTATAAAATATAAATGGTTTTTTAAAATAATTAATATACATACATGAAAGACATAAAAATTATGTGATGTGTGTGCCAGTTGGCAGCAGTTTTTCCTGTTTACCTAATATCTTGATGCTGAGTCAGTTATAATGAGAGTTAGAAATAATTTAAAAGGGACAGAACGCATAGATTCAAGAGATATCGAACAATGAAATATTTCACTAGATCTAAACGAATAAACTCCTTGAACGTAAATAATTGATGTATAGTTTACGACACGCAGATGGGTCATTATCTCTAATGATATCATCGTTGACACGCAAGAATATTGATTATATTCAACTCACTATCTAACTTGCTGCGACATTTGCATTCTTCTAGTTATAATCTTATTCTTTAGAATAATACTAGACAGAAGGGAGATAGAAAAATTAAGAAAACTTTCATAGATTAATTTATTTCTAGCCCATATAAGAGCATATATATACATATATATATATGTATATAATTATTTAATTATTAAAAATTCAGATATTAATTAACCCTCCATTGTTCTCGCTCGACAAATGAACGTACACTCGTATGAACCTGTATATATGTTACTGTTTAGTTGCATCGTTGCCATAAATTTTCTCAGGCCACGTCATTTCAATTTTCTCAGAGCAGGTAATTGTTAAAAGGAAAATTAATAATAAAAGGAATAATAATAGAAAATAAGAATAAGTTAAAATTATATTTACGTTCTAAATCTTTTTATTAGTTCATCTCAATGTGTTAGCTATATCTTTTTATTTTTCTATAATAAATAAAAATTACACTAGCATTTCTTAACGCAAAAGTTTTTTATTATATAAAAAATTTAGTTTTATTGTTTGATGTTTTACGTATCATATCATATTAAACAATTATTTACGGTTAAATTAATGTAAAAATTTACTTTTGCGTCGATAAAGTTAACACCTTCAAAATTTTTAATAAAAATTATTTTTAATGAAATTGAGAAACAATAAATATAATCTAAAAGGTTGTAAAAAAAAGTCAGAAAGTTTCAAAATCAATATTCATGCCACATCCATGCAATTAAAAAATCAAATTTGAAATGAGCGTTTGCTTTACGAGAGCAGTGTAGAGAGGGTTAAGGAAATTTTTTGTGTAAAAATCTATACGTATAAAACAAATTATCGATTTGAAAGAGTAATCACAAAATCTTCTGTTTTCGACTCCGCGATTTTGGAACTGAATTATGTGTCAAATGACCTTATAAGACATCATAAATCAAGTTAAGACTAGAATTAAAGAGATTTGGGAAAGTCAAAGTTCGTCATTAAAGCGTCAATCCATATACTTTGAAGCATGAATTTTTGTGTCAATCCAATAATTTAAAACTTCATATCCGGAAGTTTTGCTGGCGATGAATTTGAAGTCAAATTTTTACAATTCAAAATAGTCGATTTAATATGGTGAACTGTGTTCAAAAAGAACGTTTTAATTTCTATGAAAAATATTTTATTATTAATAGAAACGATTATAATAACAAAGATAAAGCAAATTTTATTCATGAACTTATATATTACATGTTTTCATCGAGCTTTGCAATTAATAATTAATCAGTGCATAATAGGACGCCCGAGAAATTGTTTCAAATACATCAGACAATAACTATTTGTCTCGAGTATGATAACGATTGGCATGGTAACGACGAGAAACTCCGTTATTTCAGAATTCAAAGAGCATGGTAACGAATAACTCCGTTATTTCAGAATTCAAAGAGGCATTCATGCTCTTCGACAAGGACGAAGATGGCACGATTACGATGGCGGAATTAGGGGTTGTCATGCGGTCTCTCGGTCAAAGACCATCAGGTGAGTAATTTGCTCTTCGCGAATCTCGAATACATTCTCGGATGCATCCGAGTAAAGTGTCCGGAACAGTAATGAATAAAGCAAACGTTAATACATTTCTTTCAGAGACAGAACTGCGCGACATGGTGAATGAAGTGGATCAAGACGGAAACGGTACCATCGAGTTTAATGAATTCCTGCAGATGATGTCGAAGAAGATGAAAAGCGCCGACGGAGAAGACGAACTTCGCGAGGCGTTCCGGTAATAAGTTCTCTACTATACATAAGAACTCCAAGTACCTAATTGCTTCTGGGATAATTGCATTGAAAGAACGTCCCGAAGCAACTTTTGTTCATAGGGAGAATAGAGCTTTTAAGGGTCGACAGGAGAGGAGAGACTTTTAGTTGAAGACAAATTTCTTTATGCTGAAATTATGGCTAAAATACTGCATGGATAGCGTTTTAATTGCGATATTTATAATCAAGAAAGTCACCTGAAAGCTCGTACAGAGATTTTTTTGAAAAAAAGATAAAATAAAAATTCATTCTGCTATCTCATCCTGATGTGTACTACAATGTAATTGGAGTGCATATCATTTTATTTATTATAATTTTTTAGAAATCAATTTGCAAAATCCGGCTCTGTATGCACCTTCGCAGCTTCATAAAAAAAGAAGCCAAAAAGCAAATTTGGCAATTGGCAAAAGGCAATTTGTTCGTTTCGTTTTAGAGTGTTCGATAAGAACAACGATGGCTTAATATCTTCGAAGGAGTTGCGACATGTAATGACGAATCTTGGTGAAAAATTATCTGAAGAGGAAGTCGACGATATGATCAAGGAGGCTGATCTAGATGGCGATGGAATGGTCAACTACGAAGGTAACGCCTATATGTTCCTTAATGTGTCTGTGTGTTATAATTTATCCTAAGTATTCATATACATATTTCCATGACGCAGCTGCTAAAAAATATTAATATGAATGTAGATATGTATATAGAATCCCCTAAAATTCACGCCTCAAAATACTGTAAGAAAGTTCTCGAAAAATTAAATAAAACAGTCATTGCTAGTATTTTTATTTTAAGCAGTCATTTATGAGATAATAAGGGATTATGAGATAATAACTAAATTTAAATATAGCCAATTACAAACTACATTTATAGCTTGACATAATAATTATATATAGAAAGTGCTGCAAAAGAGAGATATTAAAAAATATGAAAAAAATGTATATATATATTTTTAATATTACAGTACGGTATAAAATTGTAAAATCTGACGCGAAACGGATATAAACAGTTAAAAATAATTAAAAAACTAATATATAAAAAAACTATAAATATAATAATAATATGTAATAAGTAAACTGTACATTGTGTGTGTACATTATATGCTTTTCGATTAACAATTAATCAGTACAATATAGGATGTGAATATTAAATTTCTTCTAAACCTGATATTCGGATTAAATATACATATAACATTTGCATAATTGTTATCACAAATTATTAAATTATACGTTGAATTATGTGTTAATCACTCGTGTTTCAGAATTCGTGTCGATCCTAATGTCGAAAAATTAGTTCGGAGATCAAAAGAAGGATATAGATTCGAAGATAACGAAGGATCCTTGACGGAAGCAAAAATGAATGGATCCGCCACTCAAGTTCCTCGACTTCGTAGGATTACAGCGAGAAATCGTTTCATGTCCCATGAAACTATAATCGCAACCGTCGAGGGAAAAAAATCAAAAGCTCGACGACTGATCGACCGCGGCATGTACGACATTGTGAGATCGCGAAAGCGAATTGCACCAACATACCAAATTTACTCTATAGCTAAGGCTTCGTGAGAAAGACCGGCGTGTTGAAGATTTCGCGCGTAAGTAGCGCAGGTAGACGATTGAGGAGGCATCGGAAGTCTTTGGCTTCGAGCGGGATGCGCGATTCTCGCCGCGAATAGTAAAGGTTTCGGCTTTATGGCCGGAAAACTGAGAGGAGAGACTTTCTTCCGCGAATTTTGCACATACGTACACGCATTATATACACAGGTACACCTCGCGCTCCTTCGGACTAATCTTATAGACGAATACTTGAAATTTTTAGATATAACGGAAACGTAACGTAATGTTAAAATAAAGAGAATATGTCCAACCGACGGGGGAGGGAGGCGTGCGAGCTTCGTTTAGACTTTTACGTACCCCCTAATCTTTATCTCCCCCCTCCCCTAATAATTTTACGGAGCGGAGAATTTAAGAGTTACTTAGCTTTCCATCATCCCTTTGAACATCCCCGCGAGAAAGTCTTGAATATATATATATATATATATTAGTACACGATATGTTTACATGATATATATATATATATATATACATATTATATATACATATGTTATTATACGATATTCCTTTTACGTCGCTTTCCTTGAAATGCGACGTCCACGAAAAGTATTGTACTTCGAGTGTTTTTACCGCTTGTATTACAACGCAGAGGCGCGCGCAAACCTAATGTAGTGACACACACGTCTCCCGTCCTTGCCGTTGCCCTCATTGCCATCACTTCCCTGATTGTTTAGAAATTTTAGAGCGGACACATTGATGACACGCTGAAGAGTGATTGATACTACCGCTTTCGCACGTAGCGTGAACTGGCCGATAATTGTGGTGCCGCGTTTCTGTAATCGATCACCGTCGGGTGGACGAGTGCCCTGGTTGAAAAAGAGTTTTGAAAGTCTAAACGCTCAAATTACTGTGACATTTCCTGTGGGAACAATTTAAGCAAAGCACTTGTTATCTAAGAGTGCAAGATTTGAAAAGATGTTCGATTGATGTTCGTTCCTTGATTATCGAAGGAATAACGATTTTGTTTATCCACGGGCTCATTGGTGAAGTTTCAAACGGAGCTGATGCTGTGACTGAATTGACAATCCCTCGTTACACACCCAATGAGTATAGGAGGTATTATGATAATTAACAGGTGCCCTATAGTCAGGTACATGTGGCAGTGGCTTTTAGTAAAAATAAGAGAAAAAGAATCTAAGCAGAACAGAAAATCACTATGACATTATGATATTAAAATGGTGATTCCAAAAAATGATTCCAAAATGATTATTAAAAAGTCACTTTTATTCGATTAGCTACGGTTCATTTGAACATTAAAGTGGCATTATCGCGACTTGTTGTTCTGCTTGGCAAGCCCTTGCTTTGCAAGCCGGGAACAATTCAACCAGGGATTAACGCGAAGCGCGAGCACTTTTTCATTCGTAAACACGGAGGGATTATATAATGTGATTCCCTTGAAAGATGAAAAAAAAAAAATGGCACGACGTGTTTCCGCTGTCGCACAATCAGTATCGCTCGTCGCACGTCGGCGTCCAGATTCAGGAGCGTGTAAGCTATGTGCGCATTACGTTATGGTACCTTTAGACGTGTTATGTAAGAGAAAATGAAGCTGTGCGCGTTAACACGCGTGACATAGACCCATAGATAGTACCTAGCGACCCATAGTGGCATATAAAAAAACACGCGGTCGCAAGTATAAACGATAAACTGTACACGTGGATTATTATATATTATACGTGATGTTGTGCTACCACGAAAAAGAAGAGGAAACATACATGAAATACATTCTAGATATAATTATGTACATACGTCCTCTCCGCTGCCCGTGCTCCATACACGTACACGCCCTCACGCACGCACGCATGCACGCGCGCGTAATCCGATCTGACACGAAGCGGAAGTTGAATAACGCGCGAGCGCATCTGTGGCGTACTATCAATCGGAATAATTTTGTTCCACTTTGTGCACGTGATGTTGCGTTATTTTATTTAACTTTCTGTTATCCCTGACAATCGTTGTGATAACGTGTGTTAAACATGTTTGAAAAAAATACGCACGCATTTGATTGGAGTAACCCGTAAAGATTATGCTTATCTGACGTGTGATGTAACGTGTAATGAATATATGGAAATTAATTATTATTTGTTTATATTTGTCTATTTGTATAGCATGATTCTTCTGCGGGTTTGTCTTGTTAATCATAATTTGTGAATTTTCATAAGAGATTAGGTTTTCTATTTTTTATAAAAAAGTGTGTATGCACGTACATATGTATACATATATGTATACGCATTTTTCATATGTCAGCAGTACTTTATTGAGAAACTTTTCTTAATAAAGTACTAAACATTTGATTAACAAAAATTTACATACTTGACAAATATTTAGTATTTGATTAAGAAAAATTGCATTGCAAGTTATTTTTTGTTTGAAAAGATTATCTGATATGTGGAAATAATCTATTATTTTTTCTTTGATTTTCTCGAATTTTGTCATTTTCTAATAAGCGATTCATAAATTAATGATTCGTATTTATTACTTGCAAAAATGACATTTAAATCACTAAAGTAAAATAAGCTACAGTAGGATTTTTCAATTTACAATTTGTTTTATGATTTTTACAAGAGTATAAAAAATTATTTCAAATTTTGACTTATATCCAAATACTATCGGTTAAACAATATCGGTTAATTAATAAAATAACAAACTGTTATCATAATATATAAATAAGAAGTTTAAAAATGCGAATTAAAATGCTCTTCTTTTATTTAAGCACACGCGTTCTTTAATGAATCAATCTGGATTTTGCAATTTTTATTTGGACTTGTTAGTCCTTTCAAAGTATTTAAAAGCTCGAATACCATCGTGAATAACGTACCGAGAAAAAAACCAATTAAAAACCTTATACCGATTGACTGTACGTACATGCGCTAAAAGATAAAACGGGTGAAAGAGCGAGAGAAAGGATAGATAGCATTTTTTTTTTAAAAAAAGAGAATCCGGGTGAAACGCGCGTGTTTCGAGATCCGGGCAACTCGATCACTATTCTTTCCAAATACGAAGAAAACATGAAAGGCGATTGCGGCCTGAAACATTTGTCGGACGAAAACGGTGATTGCGGATAGGTACTCAGAGGCAGACAATAAAATCTGTTGCTCTCTAATCCGATCGATCGACGATTACGTTACATTTAACGGCGAGCCTACCGTATTATCACGGTACGAATGCGCGTTTATTTCGAAAGGATGGCACAACAGCGATGGGAGTTCAGGTTGTCGTGAATACGAGGAACCTCGATGATTTAATAGATGCGATTACTTGTACATATGACGCGTGACGTATGATTAACATAAACTTATATTACTTTTGCAGGCGAAAACTGTGATTTTTGATAGAGCCATTGATTTCTCGAACAATCCGAAACGTGGACAGTTTTACTACAAAGATAATCTAAATCAAAGTTTGAAGTACGATCAATTCAAATAGGAGATGTATACGCTTGACTAATGACCTAATCCGACGTAATGTATCTCTCTGTGTCCTTAGATCTTCAGAATTTGACTTACATTATTTTCAAAGTAAAACAGTTCACGTCGCGCCTCCGATAGAGTACTGCCATAACACAGATGAAGATACTTCATTTTTGGGTTTGAAGGTATTAAATTAATTTGTAAAAAGATTTCAACAGCTTACCGGCAAATAAAATTCGATGTTACTTCCATAATTCTTGAGGAATTAATCTCTATCTATTTTTAAATTTAATTTAACAAACTAACATGCTACTTCCAAAAGTAATTAAAGTAATTAAATTTATGACAGTCTCTTTTCGATGGCGCAATACAATTTACGAAGCGTACTAAGCGAAAAAGAAAGATACAGGAAAAGGAAAGGTATACTTATGTAGCCGACGTTCATAGATAGAAACGCTTCAACACGCGAAATATGAAAGCGAAAGTGATAGCCGCGTTTTTGACAATAATATATTTTCTTAACGCTTATATATCTCGAAGCGAGATGTCCCACCGCGCAGTGTCTTTCTTTCCATTGGGATAGCACCGTTTCATAGTAAACGCTACGTTCATTATGGTTTTCGATCTACCAATGCTCGTGATGATCGATTACGCTTATTCGTCGACGTACGTTCTTAACGAACGTTCGCTCTCTCTCGTGTTCGATGGTAATGGCGAAATACCAAAAGCACCGCGACTCGAAACACCGCGACCTGGGATTTGGAAAGTCAGGCACCTGAACGAATCAGCACGGCGAACGGCGACACACTGATAGATAAGGGAGAAAGTAAAGGGTCAGCTTGATAATACGTCACAAACATACATAGCAATGTATAACGTCCGAACGACAATATCTCTAATGGTTTAACTGAGGACTTCGACAAAAGAGTTCTCGAAGAAACAGATATATACGCAGGTCCGTTCCAGGCATTAAGTATCCTAAATTATATACCTATACAACGCAACAATGAGATAAGCCACTGCACGTCGCTATTTGTTCGTCGCAACGTATATTAGTCACGCATATTAGATTTCCTATTAACCCTTCGCATCTCTCCTCTTTAAAGAAAATTACCGTTGATAATTTTCGGGAATGACGGTACACACCCGTGAGTTTGTTGTGTACGACTTGCAGGAGAAATGGTTAAATAATAATGCAGAATATATACGGTCAATAGTGGCAGTTATTAATTGCCATGTAAGGACCATTTAGGACAGACAGGAGTTACTTTGATCCTTAAGGATAACTTCACGATTCTAGTAATTGAAACTTTTTTTTTATGAAACTCTGTAGTAAAATTTTTTTTATTAAATACTTTTCTTTTATTTTATTGTTTAAAACATTTTTCGTCGTAGGATTCCCTGCTAATCACGAACAAATGCAACGCTCGGATTAAACAGAAATTAAAAGGTTATCCTTACGAATCAGAAAAATTCTGATATGTAATTGTTTTTAAGGTATCAAGGTTTCCGAAACAATTTTAGGGATTTGAAAATGTGAATTTGCTTATACTGAATTTTGCGAGAAATTTTGTAACGCCTGTATACGATGTGACTTTGCCTAATTTTTTTCTACTATCAGTGTAGTGACAGTGCGACACGCGCAAGTGTAAGTACAAAAGGATTGCTGACGTAAGCATGCAGTGAATTTCTATACATATGCATACGAAGAATGGATCGTTTGCCGACACGATAGAAAAGAACGTTATCGCGGAAAAAAATACAGGAATCGTGTCTGTACGCTCAAAATGCAGCGTAAAGCTTTTTAGATTTTAATTATATATTAAATGCACTTTATATTCGAAAATGATGAATTATCCTAA